GAGAACATTCTTTAAGAGGACTATGCTACGCATCGCTACGTTGTACAACCCGCTTGTCGTATCTTTCCTCTCAATGGGGGAGACAAAGCATCAGCCCTTACAAAACAGAGATCGCCTTCTACTGCCTAGACACGTCCTTGCCATGAAAGATGTGGCGACTTGGGTTCTAGGCTTCGCGCTGCTCTCAACTGCCTCAGCCCAGTGTCAGTGCAACAGATACCTTTGCAGGACATCAAACACGGACGAATGTTCGAGGGACTGCCCAGATATCTCGACAAATGGTTTTTTAGCTGGTTCCACATGCTAAGTCCACACCTGGCTACGTATCCCCCTCCAGTGCCTCCGATGGGTATCCAAGTGATGGCATTTCAAGCTTGTGGGCAAGGAGTTGAATCAACAATATGTTTTGGCCTCATCTTTGTTCGGCTGGGCCTTAGCTCATTTGACGTCTCTTAATTGTTGCTGGTTTAAACCATTTATATACAGTTGCACAGTTGAGAAAAACTCAGAACCTGCTGGGAGTTGCAGGGTTACAGAACATGGATCTTTCCAGGAGTGGCCAGAATGAGTATGTCTACACATTGCAGCAGATGCCAGAACAAGAGATCATTGAGTCCTTAGCTCAAAGATCCAGAAAGACTGTGGCCAGCCCATGGACTTGCAGTGCATGACCCCAGGGTGGAGTCGAGTTTGTGGCATCGAGGTGCATTTTCGCGAACAAGGCCTACAATCCTCGGGGTGATTGCAAGTACTGCTCCTCTTGTGATGGCACTCTTTGCACGTGGCATGGCCGAAAAAAAGGGTTGCCGGGATGTTTGGGATCCTGATCCTGGCCAATTGCCGGGTTCCGTTAGTTAGGCCCCTGAAGAGATCCTGATGATGGTGGCTTTGGGTGCTCTTAATCCTTGGCCATGGGACATCTGGTTTGTTAGCCACCGGAAGGCTTCGCGCGAGAAGGTCCGACATCTGAAGCACTCTCAGAAAAGACTTGTCATTTACACCCTGGAAGACTAACATGGACCCTGAAAACCACTGTTTGGTAGAGGAAAACACTCTTCCAGGGAGCCATTGTCAGGGTCTGTGTTAGTTTTCGGGAGTGTAGTCAGATTTACACTTGACACTTACTTGTCAGTCAAGAGACTTCTCTCCTTCGAAGATGTCTCAGGATCTGGACATGATTCATCCTTCCATTTGGTATGAGACATGCCCAAAGCTCTCAGGAAGTTCTGCAACATTCTGCAACTCTACCTGGGCTAGCGGATTATATACAAGCATGATAGTGTGTCATCATTTTTACATGCAGCTGTCTTTCTTTTGGGGACAAGACTAGATATGCAATACACCAAGCACAAGACAATGGAGTGTGAATCACTTCTCAGGTGCCAAAGCAGCGCGTCCTGTGAGTCGTGCGGAGCTCAGAAAAGGCTTCGCAGTCGTACGGAGCTTTCTGCAGCTTGCAGGAAAGTGGGAAGGAGTCAAACAGCGATTCTTCATGTCAACAGTGAGACGAAAGACACACTCAAGGGCAGTGAGGATGCTCCTTGCCAAGGTTCTTACCCAAAGCAGCAGCAGTGGTTTGCTTGGCCCTCGCGCTACTGCTTCTAGTCATCGCAGTGCGCCCGTGACATCGGTTCGAGGGCTTCGTTGCTGTGTGCCGTTGCCGATTTGACTTCAGGTACGATCCTCCTGGAAATGGGCCAAGGGCAATGTACTCTATCGCGTCGGTTGCCGAGAAGAATACCCATCTAACTGAGCATACAAGGTTGGCCTCTGAAGGATTTCTTATGGTTTCCTCATGTTTCCTCATCAGGTTCTTCAGACTGCTCTTTTGCACCTGGGAGGGGGACAAGATCTGACAAGACTGTACCTTAAGTTTCCCTAAAAAATTGCGAACCAAATGAATAGTGCGAGCGTGAGCTATCCTGCGTCCATACTAGGAGGGTACTAGTAAGGTACTAGCTACCTAGCTACTACTAGCTACCTCTAGCTACTACTCTACCGGCCGTTCCTCCTGGGCCAACAAAAAAAGACAAAGGTACCCTTTTTAGCTTTTTGAGCTACTGGTAGCATTGAAAGACCGCTTCCGACAGAAATCCGAGTCTTGTTTCTTGTTTTTGATTTTCACGAGGTGCGGCCAGACGAGCTACCCGAACTTCAAGAGAAGCCGCAGGTATGTGGCTTGGGAGATCGGGAGCTAAGCCCGCTTACGGCACTTTGTGGAGCCTGGCACTGGCACCTCTTTGCTTGTGCCTTAAACATAGAAGTAGTATGTCCAGACACACTATTTGGCATATACAAGAGCAAAACTCTTATTATGTTTAGCAACTATGTATCCCCATCCTGCACCGTGACTCTTTTTCTTGCCTCCTTATTGACCCCAGAAGGCGCGTATGCTGGCCATCCAGTGGGGTCCGTGCGCCCCGCAAGGTTCCGCTGAAAGTTTGGGAGCGTCGGCCGAGCGTCGGGATGCCCGAGCGTGCCAGCATTTGCGGTGGCTTTGGGTGACTCTGACTATAGGAAAGCTCACACAAATAAGTACTCTCTGCCACAAGAGTGTTTTGCTGGACGTGATCTTTCACGGGACACTACAAATAGCATTTGTCTTCAGAATATATCCAGTGACCGGTTTTTGGACACAGAAGATAGGGCCTTTTTTCGAAACAGACGTTCCGCACGACCTCCCACAACAGACCGGAGGAACGAGAATAGACACATCGCCATCATCGGACATCGGATTGACAAATTCATTGACAGATTGATTGAGGGTTGCCGGCAGTGCAAATCAGATGGGTGCTATTTGCATCTAGTTGGTCAAAGGATGTCAAAGGTATATAAGGTATTAGCTTCTGGGGTCAAGCCAAGGGTTTGGCCCTTCAACAGTCGGAAGCTTCAGCTTCCAGAAAGGTGATGTATCGATCCTGTGTGCTTGAAGAACTTCTTTGCCTAGATCCGCTGTGGATGATGCTAGCCGGAGTCTGGGTGCCACAACCTTGTTTGTTACAACAGACGAGTATCACACAATTTTGGGCCCGTGGACTACCCTTTAGTCATTAGTCGTTCTTCCATTGAGGAAAACCTCTGAATTGCTTGAACCTGAAGATCCAATATTTATACTTCCTTCAGATAACGCTCAGTGTCACTGAGCGTTATATGAATGAAGGAAGTTTATTTATGACATATGTTTAATTAATGACGATGCCCTGCTACCAGTAATCAACCGAATGCGATGCAACTCTTTTGTCCTCCTCAGATGGCCATTTTCCTCCCTGGCGCTGGTTGTGTGCGCACGGGATGACATGTGGACCATTCGATAAGTCGACCAGTTCATCAGATTTCTGGGCTTTTCAATCCATTTTTCTGGTCAAGAAGTTGATGGAGATCAGTCAGTGATTAACACAGCTTGATGTGAGATGACCGGCTGTTTATATATATAGTTGCTGTGTCTCTGGCAGGCCAGTCTGGCCACACCCCACTCCTCTCAAATACAAGTTCCTCTGTCACTTACAGCAATTGAATCTTTTCTTCTACTCTGGGCTTGGTCACACACTCATAGCCAATGCGGCAGTCTGGTGCTGATCTGTTGGGCAGTGCCTGTCTCCTGTTCGGATGTTTGCAAGAAGCAGGTACTCTTCTTCGCTTTGGGCGTTGTGGTTTGGTTTTCCCCAAACATACTGACTCAGGCAAGTGCCCGATTCGACGTCGCTTGCGGTTGAGTGACCCCTACAGATCTGCAAATAGGAAGCCCAAAATGTACACATCCGCTTTTTGCTGCTGGCCACACAGTATCACTATGACCTATGGAGATACAGTCTTTCTAAAATGACTTTCGAGACTATTCCCAGAGTCGAATGTTTGACCTGTCTGCAAGGACCATGTACTCACATGAGGTCTGCCCTTTAAATCCTGTTTGACCGCGCTGGAGGAGTTCTGTTTGAATCTCAAGTCCCTCCATCGAACTCGCAACCAATCGCTCGATCCTGCCAGGAAGCAGCAAGTTGAGGCCAAAAAAGGGAAGAGTAGACAGGTGAAGAGGGTGAAGATGCTGAAGAGTCAAGGTGTTGATATGTCAGTGTTCATTGTTTTCCACACGGGCTCCAATCTTCTTTATTTTGTTGTTTTTTTTCAGGTGGAACCATTCGCATGGGCCAGCTTGATATATATATATAGAAGATGCAGAAAGCAGTGAATGGATTTGATCGTTTCGCAGTACTGGACACTGGGCACGTTGCAAACAACTCCTGACCCATCAAAGCACCTTCAAAGCTTTGATTGGGATCCGAACAACTGGAGGGCAACTGAGATATCCGTAGCCAATGATGGCTGAGTATTGGGTTGCTGGCCTTCGGAAGTGCATTGAAGTACTGCAACAGTTGATAGCTCCACAGACACAATAGATGCACGGCTTTTTTTGTTTCGCAGATTGTTGATGCACAGGCCAAAATGAGGCATCAAGCGCACGGTGTCACCATTGTAGTTCGCGAAGCGGAAGCAGGGTGCAGTAGATCACGAGGATGCCTTTTGTGTTCATCATCTAGTTTGGTAATATTCTATGGCGTTGCTCCTTCCTCGTGTGAAGACTGCCCCCCAACACCTCTTGGGCATGTTTCGCCCAGAGGTTTCACAATGACCTTCCGTGATGTAGGCATTCGTGGAGCTGGTTTATAGTATTCCTGGTCCGAAAACATGTTGCGAATGGCTCACCACGAAAATTCTAGGATGGAGAAGAACTGTGGCTGGCAGATAGGCACGCCACAGATGTTGGTGGCTCCAAGTTGTCCCAATATGCAAATAGCTCAAAGCGAGGCTTCCTTCATGGCACAAAGCGTATGCTTCTGGACACAAGAATAATACAGCAAAAGCAGCTCGCGCCAGAGATGCTGGGAAGGCGATGCCGAATCCATGCGACCGCGACAAGTTGTCTTGATTGGCCTCAAGGGATCCACGTTCGTCGCATGAGCTGCCTGACGATTTGTGAAGAACCTTCCACCTTGATCATCTCCCAAGTCTCAGGCAACCCCGGTCGTTCCTCGCGTGAAGTGCCTTCAACCGCAAAGCCATGCCTTCCAAAGCGTGCTCGATGGCCTTGGCCGGTGCCGGCGCCTATGCAGCCACAGCCTTCCTAGCGCCGGTGAGCCCAAACGTGAAGCAGCCAGAGGTGCGCCACTTGCGTCAGCAGCCGGCGGCTGGCGAGGCTCCATCTGCGACAGGACCAGGGTTGAAAGCGTTGAAGAAGTTCGGATCGCGTGGAATTTCTGAGTGAATGTTCTTATTTTTATCGTATTTTTACAGTAATTGAGAGATTCAAACATATCCAAGCGGAACAAACACTTTTTTGACTGCGAATGCTCTTCAGGTTTGTTGGCGCTGGGTGCCGCGGGCGTTGCAGTGGGCTGTGCCCAGGCGGGCCGTTCTCGCCAGTCTCGGCGCTGCCAGGTGGTGCGCCAGGGCACCGCGGTGGCAGAGAAGACCTTCACCAAGATGCCCGCCTCTGTGAAGCCCGGAGTGGTCACTGGCCAGGCCCTGGTGGATTTGCTGAACTACGCCAAGGAGAAGCGCGTTTTGGGGGGGGCGTTTTAGGAGCGAGAGAGACTGTTTTTGTTGTTTGGCTGAAGACGCACCGTGAGTCGCCAGGAGAACGAGTTCGCCATCCCCGGTGTGAATGTGGTGAGCTCCAGCTCCGTGAACGCTTGCATGGAGGCGGCCAAGAAGGCTGGTGGCCCTGTGATGGTCACCTTCTCCAAGGGTGGTGGCCAGTTCCTGGCGGGCAAGGCCGCTGACAACACGGATGATGCCGCCTGCATTGCGGGCACCGTGGCGGGTGCGCTTCATGTGCGCCAAGTCGCCAAGTTGTATGGAGTGCCCGTGATCCTGCACACCGACCACTGCCAGAAGGCGTGGTTGCCTTGGTTCCTTGGCCTTTTTTCAGCTTCACCACTGCCAGGAGTACGAGACATTACATACAGACATCAGAGTCTCACTTGTTCTGGCCTTCTCAACAGCTCAGTTTAACCAGCTTTCTTTCCAACCCAATCTCGTAGTCATGGTCATTCATGGCCAGGGAGAAAACGGTCAACAGAAACCGTTCAAGCCACACACCTTTTTCCCCCCCAAAACCGATGGCCTGATGAGGTTCGATGGCCTGATCGAGGCAAGCGAGGAGTACTTCGAGAAGTATGGTGAGCCGCTCTTCTCGTCCCACATGCTTGACCTTTCTGAGGATCTAGGGATATGTTGATTGATTTTGTCCAAGGGAGGCAGAGTTAAGAGAGGTGCGATCTTATAGAACACCAAAAACCAGTTCAAGGCTTGTGCTTTTGTGCCTCCACCTGTTAGGAGCCTTTGGAAGAGAACATCTCCATTTGCAAGAAGTACTTGGAGCGCATGGCCAAGATCAACCTCCTTTTGGAGATGGAGCTTGGTGTGACCGGCGGTGAAGAGGATAATTGGATCCCAGTCCGACATTCATTTACAGTAAATCACAATTCTCAAAACATGGTATTTTTTGCCCAACTCCATATGGATGGCCAAACTGGTTTTCGCTGTCCACTTCGCAGGACGGCGTGGACAACACTGACGTGGACTCGTCCCGTCTCTACACTCAGCCTGAGGAGGTGTGAATGGGGGGGGTCAAAAGCCTTCGTTGGAGTCCGTAAAGGAGCAAGGTCGGAAGCGCCTCTAATGGTAGACATGATGAACTTGCGCATTCCGAATTCCCATTATTTGTTGGAGTTGAAACAGACGTTGCATGCATCCAATGTTCAGCTGTTGATGAAAGATTCGGAGGGTTTGATGATGGATTATGTTGGATCACATAGGTCACTGGTTTGACACCTAGCGACCTAGGGACACTCATTGATTGACTTATTCAATTGAGAGCGCTTGGGATCCAGGTCTGGCAAGTCTATGAGACCTTGTCCTCCGTGCCCAACGGGAACTTCACCGTGGCTGCTGCCTTTGGGAACGTCCATGGTGTCTACGCGCCGGGGAATGTCAGCTTGAAGCCAGTGATCCTGCACAACACTCAGAAGTTCATCAAGGATGGACAACGAAGTCTGCAGCATTTTGAGATGCGCCGCGCCGTGTTTGTCGTTCCATGTGGCTCTACTGCCTCAGAATCTAGGAACCAGATGAATCATGTGAGCGTGAGTTTCCTGCGTCCGGTGCCCCAAAAATGGAGTAGGCGTGTAGATCATGAAGGGCGAGGGCAACACGTTCTAAATTACACAAACGGTGGGCTCAAAAAAAGGGGCGGGCTCAAAATCAAAAAAGTTCATATTAGATTGATGACTCGACAGGAGAAGCTGGGCTGCGACAGTGACAAGCCAGTGTCCTTCGTCTTCCATGGCGGCTCTGGCTCCTCCCTGGAAGACATCCGCTATGCCATCGAGGCGGGTGTGGTGAAGATGAACATCGACACGGACACCCAGTGGGCCTTCTGGGATGGCATGAACGAGTGGCTTTGGATTAACAGGTGGTTTGACCAAGATGTCTAGTGTTCCTGGTAATGTGAGCTTCCCAATCTTCTCATTGGTTCATTCATCCCATGCAGCTTGTCAGTGAGGTACCAGAAGAAGAACAAGGACTACCTGCAGGCGCAGATTGGAAACCCTGAGGGCGCTGAGAAGCCCAACAAGAAGTACTACGACCCTCGTATGTCCTTGCGCTCGGGTGAGGAATCCATGGCCGAGCGCTTGGTGAAGTGCATGGAGGATCTCAAGTGCATTGACCGCCTTTGAGAGATCGATCGGATCATTGACGTGTGACATTACAGTGGTTTTGTGATTCTTTCAGTTTTCCTTTCCTTACTGTCATGGAGGGTGGCGGGTTGAAACAAGCGCTGCTTGTTCGCAGCGCCACATGCCGCAGCCACCGCCTGCCTGAAACCATGCCGGAGCACAAGACGGAGTCGGTTCCAAAAGAAATCGTTAGCTGAGTTAGCTGTACGAAAGTTGTTCGTCAGTCAAGGTTGCTTGCTCTTGGCTCATGGCTCTAGAAGCCCAAAACACCCACCCGCTGCGACAGCATAATACCACTGAAAACTCACTTGTTCACGATTGGCAGCAAGCTCTAAATTTACAAGGCTTTTGTTGATGCCGATTGGAAAGGGATGATTCTGCCAAGCTCGACCAGCCAAATATATATATATTTAAAGTTATAATTACATTACTTGGCGACCGCAGAGTTTGGTGCTCGAATTTGAATGATCCAAAGGCGGCCCATTTTTTTGGCCGCGTGATCCACGATGGCAGGCTCGGACCCGGCAGAGCCTGGTTTCGACTGGCTACTTGTGATAAACATTAATTGACACTCTTGTTTAGCAATCTACAGTAATTGCAAGGTTCTATTGGCATATCTCAGGAACTTCGCCTGATCTTACCTTGCAGATCCGCAAACACCCCAAGAGTAATGGCCTCCACCCTAGTAGCGATGGCCTCCACCCTAATAATAGCGATGGCCTCCAACCTAAGAGCGATGGCCTCCAACCTAAGAGCGATGGCTTCCACCCTAGTAGCGATGGCCTCCAACCTAATAGCGATGGCCTCCAACCCAAGAGTGATGGCCTCCACCCTGGTAGCGCTCCTTCCTACCTGGTCTTACCTTGGTGATCCACAAACTGACTTGGGGACTCAGGCATTGGGTCTCGTTCAGAGCTCCTCAACCTCCTCGGCGATGTGAAAGCTCGTGTTCAGGCACGGCCACAGCTTTGTTGGCCTTAAGTGAAGGTTTTGTTTTTTGGATTAACATACCAAACAAATCAAAAAGGCAGCAACAGCAGAGTTTGGTGCAATGCTGTCTTCTTGGCAGGAATGCAAAAAGACATGGCTTCTATTGACAGCTTCTGTTTGATCCTCCGAACCAGTCGGTGCGCTTGAATTGAATTTATATATGTAAAACATGAACTATGTTCGAGCTATTTCCAACGAAGGGCTCTAATAATGAGCAGTCCATGTGTTTTTTTGTTGACCAGCGTGACATGGATGGATTGGCGTTTGAGATGTGCGATGTGCTGATTCTTGCAACAGGACAAGATTGGGATCGTTGACTTTCCGATGCCATTTTCTCAGATCGCAGCCATCCGTGGTCATTGTTTCCATGGTTCCGCAGCAAAAGTGTCGAGACAGGAAGTACTGTACTTTAAAGTGAGGCCTGCAAAAGTAAAAATAGGTTGCGAAAAGCAGCGGGAAAGCACTCGCGAAAGAACCCCTAGCTGATTAGAACCCCACCACAACATACCGCAACCAGGTTTTTGACACAGCTCACTTGAAGAGTGGTGTTGTTTGAAGAGCTTTTGTGACTTGTATTTTGGGATCATTGTAATGAATCAAGTGGATATGACATGTCGCAGCCCTTCGATTCAATCGCTGAACGCCACAACAGCGCCATGCCTCGTGTCTTTGGAAGATGTTTTCTTCCTACTGAGGCCCCAGTTCATCCTCATAGGCAAGCAGTCCGTTGGCAAGAGCCGCTTGATCGAGGCGGGCGGATTGGAACCAGTGGAAGCAATGATGCCGAGGACCCCCCTGAAATAGGGGGGTTGATAGTTTATGAATGTTTATGATAGTTCATGCTAGTTTTATAGGACTATACTGTGGATTTTGAGGGCTTATGACAGTTTATGTATACACAGTAAACACTGCAATAGTAGCATATAGCTGAAATCAGTCGGTGTCAGGTTTGTACCTTCTGGTAGAGTCCTGTCCGATGGCACCAGAGCTTTGTTCCTTTCTCCATGTGGGAGCGGTGTTGAAGGCCTTGGCCGGAGAGACCTTCAACTTCATCTCTGGCACTTTAGGCAGGGAGGGCTAACAGGGACCCTTTTCGTTGATTTCAGTCCAAGCTGAAATGGCACTTGGTCCGAACTTTCTTGATTTCGAAGCGGGTGAACCCAAGGTGGCGGTTGGATTGGTCAATCGAAGCTCCGAGTGCCCTGCGTAGGCAGTCGCCGGCCCACCATCCTGGAGTTCCGGAACGTGGTTGGCTCCAAAGCCTCCAGATGGTCCGACTCCGAGACTCTCCAAGACTTATATAGGTGGACTTGCAGACAAGGAGAGTCAAGAGAGTGGTCTAAAGCGGCAACTACAGTATCGGAGCCATTCAGAGTCACAGGGACTCTCGCTGCCAAATAAGCCAGAGTTCTCGAGATGGATGTGAATATAGATGTGAATCATCCGACAGCTTCGCTGTCCGAAACGGTCTAGTTACCGGGCACGCCTCACACTGTTTGGGTGGTCACAGGATGTCGGAGCGTAATTACGCGGCCATCCAAGTGCGAGCTTGACATGGCATGTTTTCATGGCCTGTACAGAATTCTAAGACTTTCTATCTACGTTGCAGACCATATGGCACATGGCAAGGCTTGGGGATAATGTAGACTGTCTGACACAGGCACTGAAGATGTTTGCCCAAAGCAACTAAGCCTGAGACGAGGCTTCGTGGATCACACTGCACGGCTTCGTCGATCTGAGGTTCGTGCGAGACAGACAGACCGGCCACTGGAACGAGCACGAGGTCAGCAAGGTGATGCAATTGGCCAGGAGTCCCAGGATTCAAGACACTATAAATTGATGCGTCCCCATGATGAGGGCTGTGGCCAATCCTCCGGTACGGGAGCAGAGGGAAGGCAGATTTGAAGCTGTGGGGAAGTTCGGGTGGCAGCCCCCCCCAGTCTCATGTCTGAACTAAAACTTGAGACATCCCTCAAGCACTGCATGGGTAGAGCTTATTCGCTGGAAGATGTATCACATGAGACGAACACTCCAGAAGTGCCCAACTCAAGGGAGGCCCAGTACAAGAGGCCTAAAGAAGTGTGCCTGAAGGGCAAGGTGGGAAGCAAAAGGCGTGAAAGAAATCATTGGTGGATCAACAATCATCAACAATCCATGCCCTGATTGGGCGTGGGAAGCTTCAAGCTTCAGTCTACCAGTGCACCGTATTCAGCCTGTGCAGCTAACCAAGGTGGGAGATGCTCATGAAGAACTTGGAGAGACGGCGCGCAGTATGTCACAGTGAGGTTTGAATCATGCAAGATTTGACCAGCAATTTGTGCCTCATTGTGCGTCAGAAATCAGCTGGCTTTTTGGGGAAGCGCTTCTCATCCATGTTCATAGCAGCCATATGGAGCTAGCAGCTTGGGGACCTGCCCTGCAGCTTGGGAGAGACGTTTTCTTCGTTGCCCTAGCCGCAGGTCTCGCAGGAGCCCATCTGCGTCCGCGTGCAGCAGGAAGGCCAAGGGAGCGGAGTGGACGACCCAACGACCACCTGCTCGGGGGTGGAATGTGATCGTCAGACGATCGTCAGACGGAAACCGCTGGCTTAGGCACCGCAGGTTAGCGCAGAACATTCTGTTTGGAGCACCCTGCATAGTCAGAAGACTTGAAGAGCACATTGTCACAGTCAGCCAAACGTCAATGTGCAGCACAACATCCATGCTGCTTAGGTCACCCTCATGCGTGGATATGCAGATCGTGGACTTGCCTGGATTTAGGGACTTCGCAGCGGCCTGAGAAATACTGCCTGTGACTGGTTTTATGCAGATCGTGGGCGACTGCATTCTTGGTGAAATGACTAGACCACGTCCGCAACTGCTGGTACAAAACATATATATGCTGTACTGTATATATTAATGTCGTTATATAATCAAGCAAACATTGAATGCCGCCATATATTCTTGGTCGACACTTGACATACAGGATAGTGTGTACTGTACTGTGTATACCCAAATACGTTTGTTGCTTCTTGTGAATTTAACGCCGTCTTTGCACGATTTCATGGCTTATGCATCGAAGCGACTTGGAGACGCTCCAAGAACCTCGCACTCTTCTTTTGGAGGTCACAGCGGTGAAACTTCCGGTTTGCCACTGCAATCCTGCTGTCAGTAGCTTTAGGAATGCGCACGTTGAGTGTCCTGTTGTCATCAGCCAAATAGGGCTCGTTGATGACAAATGGGACGGGAGTCCCATCAATCATGACGGTCGGGTGCAGATCTGCAGATTGTCGGCGAGGCACTCGACCAGTCAAAGCAAGAGCTTTGTACAAGGACCCCTCACTGGAGTTTGATGCCATCGGGGAGCTTGGGCTGGGCCCAGAGGCTGTTGAGTAGGAGAAACTTTATTTTGGTAGAAGGCTTCTGTTCATTGCATAGGAGAAATATGGAGAAGCATTCCTTTGCAAGATTTGGATTCCTCGTGTGAATGTCCTTTTGGGAAAATTACTCCAGGGAAGGTGTTGCGGTTTGAAATGCGCATGTCAGTCCAGAATGCACTGTACTTGAAGTTACATAAGCTTCTGCAGGATCGAAGAGCTTGTCATGACCTTCATGCGTGATCCGCGCAACGTGATGCTTTGCGTGGAGCAGGCTGGGATGCATGCCAACACCCTGCAGAAGAGGGTGCCTTTTAGACCCAGCCTACTTGCATGGAAACGATACTGCACACTGCAGACATTTGATATTCCGTGCATTTGATTAGATTGCACAGCCTGGTATGATTCCAGTGTTGTCGTCATGTGGCTTGACTTCTTCGCACACACACACATGCCTGTTTGTTATGTGTGTGGTGAAAGGCATGACCTGCAGCATTCCGTCAAACACTGGATTGAGCCGGCTATGACATTGTCTCCATACATCTTTGCTGGCTTTGGTTCTGTAGTTGGATCTCTCAGACTGTAGGATCTCTGAGACATTGTGCAATTCATTGATGCACGTTCCAGAAAGCGGCAAAGATTCCATCCATTTCACCACCTCACCACTCCAGCCTCGCAGTGTGGCGATGCCGCCACCATGTCCACTCTGGGGAAGTGCCGGCAGATCGATCCTAAGTTTCAGAGGAGTTGGGGAACTTTCTGCAGTTGACAGGTCTGTCCATGGCTTTTGTTCCAACTGGTATACTCCCACCCCAAATATGTGCGAAGTCCCTTTGCAATCTGTCATTGGAATTCTCGTCAACTTGGGCAGTCCCACTGTTACTAATTACTTCTGCCGGAGTCGATGTTTCAATCTGATAATTAGTAAATCAATGTAAATCACCGATGTCTTTAAAAGGACATTGATGTTTGTAGCCAGTTATAGCTATTACTATGAATGCTTGCATGGCCGTCCATTTACATACCTATCCAAGCCATGATTCTGACCTTTCGAGCCCCTAGTCTATTGCATGCACTAGGAAGCAGCCTTTGATAGGATAGGTCGTTCTCATTTTCACAAGGAAGAACCGTTCCTGTGACCAAACTTAGAGAAGTCACGTGTTATCGTCTTCACTCACATTGGTCCGCCCACGGTGTGTAGCCCGTGCAGGACCATTTTGGTGCGCACCAAGTTGGACAAGTATTACACGGACTTGACGCCCGGGAGCCCAGCCCTTTCTTTCGGGGCACGAGCAGTGGAGCAACCTGGAGCAACGGCGTCCAGAAGTTGGGATGGGATACCCAGATTCACGGCTCAGAATGGTCAAACTCTCAACCTTACAGAAGACAAGAGTGAAGGCATTTCTACGGCCAGGTTGAATAGACATTTTGGCTGCCGTCTACGAAAAAAAGGGCCTGGCAGTCTTCAAGATCTCAGCACATCCCACGAAAAACGCCCTGGTTCTCTAACTGTCCCGGAGGAGATTCCACATCATTCGCAACCCTTCGCGCCAGGAAAGAGAATGTGAACCAGTGGGTGGATGGCTTCGGCGATCTACCCGAGAACTTGGTTCGCTTTGCCCTCACGCTTCCCTGGTGGCAGGCAGGGAGCCAACATAGCTGTTCACGCATGTGAACACCCTCTTGCTTTACCTGTCCTCCCGTGCATCCCTGCTTTAGCAAAAGCTTACGTGCTTAGAATCCAGGTACAAGTGAAAGAAACCCCGCGTAGACTCGTGATGCCTCACTGCATCTCCCCCCGGTTGCAAGGATGGGGAGATTTGCCCTGCCGAGTCATTTGTGAAGATGAGAGACGAATTCAATGCGAAGGACCGCAACACGATCAACAGGGAGACTTGCAATGTGGACTTAAAGGACCTTGAAGGAGTCCTAGTAGCCTACGGTGGCCCTTCAAGATTTGCACGCCGCCCCTCAAACACGCATCAGTCATGAAAAGTCTTTGACGCGGTGGAATAGAGCCACACTACAGTACTGCAGCTGCATGAATCGTTATGCTCGTTGACTTTTCAACCCTCCATAGGATCAAGCTGAGATGCGGGATAGGCAGTTGAAGCCTGAGTACATGCAGGCGGGGAAGCTGCCACGGGTGACCTTAGTTTCCATAACAGATGGCTCCCCTATGACTGCGCCAGAAGCCCACAACGTTTGGTGTATAATTTTTATGAGAGTATGTTGCAGTCACCCACTCTTGCCTTAGCACGCCTCTGTCAGTTATATAACTCAAAGGCTGCACCTGGCTACCAACACTTCCCAAAACAGGACATTGAGCCCCCCCAGTCAGTGCTCTTCTAGAGCACCCTATGCCCCAGGCGAGGGTGCCTCAATAGCTCTGGTTCTTTTCTTAACAAGGGCATAGAGTGGGGACAGTTGGGGTTGTTTGATCTCTGCCTCGCATGTTGACATATTCATATTGGGGTGGCAGTGGGTGTTGACCTTATAGTTGTGATTTCTTGTGAGAATGGGGCAGGTATGCCAAGACTGTTTGATCAGTAACCAGCCGCAGTGTCAGCCAGCAATTTCCTAGTGACTACTCAAGACAGTGATAGAAACCAGTAGAGATTTCACCCATGCTTGAAAGTGGACAGTGATGATGATATTTTACTGACTGAACAAAAAGACATGTGTATATGGTTATATTCATTTTTATAGGTGCCATTGTAGTTTATTTACAGAACAATGCCTCCAATACTGCCGGTCTTCATTCGCGCAAAAAAAACGCCAAGTGAAATAAGCCTCACTTTCACCCCGCGAGACCATTGGCTTCCACGCCTTTGGGGTTTTCATGGAGAAGAAGATCGAGCACATGTTGCTTGGCGTGCGAAGAGCGAGGCCAGATCACCCACAGACGAGGAGTGATTCGTGATCTGTGGAGATTTGTTGGTTTTTCAGGACAAGCTGCAGGACGTTCTGACAGCAAGCATTAGCGCTCATTGTTGGCTTTTACCAGAGTTTCGGGCCAACCACAGTTTGCATAGCGGCTAAATTTCGCTGCCGCGCTGCTTCATGGCACGCCTCGAATATTCATTGGGAATCTATGTTCAGGCACAATGAGACCCCGCCAGAATTCCGTCTCCAATGCTCCAAATGATCTATTTAAACATAAAGCTCTCCATTCCTGTGTTTTTTTCCTGTGTATCTTTGGGAACGCCGGAAATTGCTGCAAGTTTTTTGCACCTTGAACCTGCGCTGTCGCCCGAAGTGCCACTCCAGACTGAGGCCGCCTCATTCATTATCTTACCGTGCACCCGCAGGACAGTACTAAGAACGTTTATTCGTAAGGCATGTCTTGGCCACCGAAGTGAAGACTTGTCGACCAATCTGTTTCCGATGTTTTGGTCCATTCCTCAGCCTTTTGAAAGAAGGACGTACTGGTATAGGGACGGGTCTGAGTTTTCCGCCCCTTAGGTTTGCTGACGCGATCAATCCAGTGCTCGACAAGTTGAGAGAATTGAAGGCGCGTGACAATCGCTGGCCGTCCTTGGTGAGCCTGACGTTACCATTCCCCAGTATTTTGTCCATGGGATTTGCGAATGAAGACTGTGACTCAATAGTAGCCACTCAAACACATGCTTTATTTTTGGCATGCCATCCCAGTCACTACAGTAACGAGTCATACCGCGATGCAAACAAGTGGCCCAACGCACTGATGTGACTGAAAGCTAGGGCCGCTAGGGTCCAGTCCTACAAGGGTTTTTCGAATTCGACAGTGGCCACCGTTCGACAGGCGTTCTCGACCCTTCGACCGACGCTTGTCCAGACGAAATACACTTCGAAAGAGCAGAGTCTGCAGACGGAGTACGAAGAGACAGATCCTCACAGGACTGATTGGAGTACGTTTTTGTTCACGGTCTGCACTGACTTGCAGCGGAAATCCAAGTATGGGAAGAACATCCACTTCTCTGTATGTGCTTCTTTGAATGTATGCGACTGTAGTTGACAGTCAGAGCAATCGCCGGATTTGGGCTTAGACGGATCCGTCACAGATGCAGGATGCCCTCAGGATGCACACAAATTTATTCAATCATCTCTGATTTTAGTGCTTTCTGATTTGTTGTGAAGCCCTCAGAAAGCATCACAGGACACGAAGCGAAAGACAAAACAACGGATTTCAAAAGATTTCTAATTGTTTCACAACACCTGGTGACGTGGTCGTCGCTGGGCGTCAACTTCTCAAGCACTGACATGTCAGTCGGTAGAAACAGAGACCAGGAAATCATTTTTGAAACCCTGCCAACTCGAGAAATTATGGTAAAAGGCCATGCATGGAACACTAAGTGACTAAGTGGACCGGTCGAATTTACAACCAGCACGAAACTGTTGGATTCAAGGATCAATGCAGCTCTTGGCAAGTTCAGCTTTTCCAGGCAACGATACAGCTGAGAACACAAGTTACCACTTACCACCTCTACTGTGCTTGCCGAGAGCTCGCTCGTATGGCTTCAGAGCTCGCCATGAGCTCCGCCACATCTTCTGCCGAGAATGCGAGAGTGCAAGACTCCGCCACTTGGCTCATCCGCCACGTCATGTTGAAAACAAAAGCTCCTGCCACCCCTCTTCGATGGTTCGCAGATCGTCAAAAAAACTTGGCTCTTCATTCCTGAACTTAAGCGCTCTTCTGAAAACCCCTCTTCGTCCCAAATGTATCGACCAACCTTGGAAGGTACTGGGTGAGGCCGAGATAGCCGCTGGTCCAGGCCCCTGTGAAGCAGACCGTGCTGCTGGCGCTGCCCGTGCGCCGCGCGGGTGCAGCACGAGTGCAGCAGCGCACCCAGCCGACGCCGATGCTGGTGCCGGTGGACCGCCACGGAAGCGGCCACGCCTGGGTTACATGGCCATGGCTGCGGCAGAGCAGTGCCAAGACCCGTCCAAACATTTTTTAGTTTGGCGATGTGTTGGTGTTGTATTCGCAGATGAGAGAGATAAAACCGATCAAATCAGGCAATATAGCAGGTGAACGTGCGAATGAGTCTATATAAGTTTATGTTATATATATAACGTGTTATTGCTTAACAGCAGAGCCAAACTGCTTTCAACAGCAGAGCCACTGCTTTCAAAGTTGAGGTGGAATCTGGACGTCGCTGGGGTCATGGATTGGGCTCAACGACGCGAGCTGCCTGGAGTCGGTGTGGCCGATTTACTGGACTACCGCCGAGAACACCCCGAAGAGGATCTGGCGGCCGGGCTTTCTTCGATCCTTTCAGATGGGAGCTGAGCAGAAAAAGAGCAGAGACGCGCGGTGCTTTTTCTTGGATGGAAGGTGTCAAAGGACAACCATGAACCATGTTGAATCGACGTGAATCGCCTGGAAGTGGATCCATGACCTCCCCTGGACAGCCCATTTCTGTTCTTCGGCCACCTGGCAGGATGTTCAAGCTGGTCATTTCCAACTGAATCAGAGAGGTCAATTAAATCATGCACAACTCATTCCATTAGTCATTGGTTATCACACTTCTAAAGAGGTACCTCGCGTACCTTGGCAGGATCTTGAGTACCACCCGAGAATGCGGCATTTCCTTCGCCTCGGCCTTGAGATCAGTCATGGAGGCCGGTGTCCCTGAGATCACCTAGTAGCCCTAGTAGCTCATCTCTCACATTTTAGGAGAACCTTGTCGGGGTGTGGCTCCTGTGAGCTTTGCCTTCGGCTGTGTGGAAGATACAGGGGTTTCAGACAAAGGACAAAACATATGCGGATGCGAAGGTGCATTCTTACACCTGTTTCATGAAGAACTCCACTTTCTGGGTCCTTCTGGCAAAGTAGCTGGTCGGCATCACTCAATTGCTGCAGGGTATTCCGAACCTCTCTACTGGGCGAATGACCTTGGAAAAGGAGCTCAAGGAGTTCCACGAGTATCACAAGAAGGCTCAAAGCAAAGCCAGGGTAGCCAACTTTGACTAAACTGAAGCTGGAGATCTCTACAGACTCTGCACCACCAGATCAATTCAGCATTGGACATACAGGATGAGGAAGAAACCTGTTGGGACATAGACAGGCAAACAATTGTCAAGTTGTTTACAATCTTCTATGTCAAGTGACCACTTCCCTGCGGTCTCCCCATTGTGAAATTGATAATTTAATGTTAGTCACAGTGTCATGGACAAGATTCTATTGGATTCTGAGATGGATTAGTATGGATCAGTTATGGAATGCAATGCAATGTTATATATGTATCTATATGTGGGTATACATACTTAAGTTTCCCTGAACATCTAGGAACCAAATGCGAACGCTTCTTCAAGGAAGCTCCCCTCGCCCTCAGGCAGGGGCAGCTTCCTTGAAGAAGCGTGAGCTATCCTGCGTCGTAGGTAGTAGCTTAAGTAAGGTACTAGCTACTGTTTGCTTCTACTCGCTACCTCTAGCTACTAGCTACCTACCCCCCGGGCTTTAAAACATACAAATATATATATATATAGAGAGAGAGAGAGAGATAGAGTGTAGTTGCATTTCTTGCCAGCTCACAAGCCCTTCTGTCTGCTCCGACCAGTTGGGCTCGGACCACTTCCAGATGCTACCCTCAGAGGACTTCATGGGGCTGGACGACTACATTGAGTGCCTCCGAAACGAAACGGGAGATGCTTCTGTGGGTCGGGTAAAGCCATGTAAAGCCTTGAACATCTCTTCATGCACAAGCCTGGTGCTCTGTGGCACCCAAATCAACCTTTTAGACGGTGACGACCTAACGTTGCGGGCACTGAACGCCCAGTTACCTGCAGAATGACATCCAGATCGGCGCTTCTGATGCCGAGGAGTTGCGGGGAAGGGGCTGACTTGGATGCCACTTTTTTTTACTGGCGGAGGACAGATCTCAAGTTTTGCAGGCTACGGGTGATCTTGGGTATTGAGCTTCATTGCAGTGGATTTTTGTTGTTCTAATCTTAAATGCCTTGATAAGGAAGCGCTCCGCTTTGGCCCGTCGTTGTTTGGAAAATTGTGTGCACGAGCCGAAGGAACCAAGCTTGTGTTGGGCCCAAGGGCTGTTGGGGATGTACACTTATGCTGGGTTTGCATGTGGTCAAATAGAATTTAAGATTAGCGCTCAATGGGTAGGGACTAGACGTCTGGAGTCACGTGATGACGTGTCATCTTGCTTTTCCAATGTTTCATACTCTATTCCTTTTTCTTACAGTACTAGTAGTACTGTTTTCCCAGTATGCAGTGTCCTTTTTTTGTCGTATAAATCCACATATATATATATTATGATTTGTTGCCGATTGCTTTCTGTCGGTGATGTTCTTCTCTTGGGACACTTTCTGGCTTGATTCCATGAGACTTTGATGCTGAGAAGGGCATGGCCTGTGATCTCCATTTTGAACACAAACTGTAGTACTTTTTGTCAACAAGATCCGGGGCACCCTGGGGACTCTGGAATACTCAAGGTGCAAACGCTGCTTCAAATGCTTTCCATTCCCGTGAACTAGAGTGGGACATCATAAAGCCTCCAACGTTGCACTCCATCATGGTCAGGTTCTTCCCATCAGTCTTTTGAACCCAGTCCTTCAGGGCTAATGTTTCGAAAGGCCCACAATGCCTCTTGAGGGTTTTGTCGCTTCTTCCGGTGGTTCCTGAAAGTAGATGACCCACATGGAGATCATAGATGACCCAAGCCAGGTCAATGGTGGTGCTCAATTCCGTCGAGTCATGGCTGAGGCAAACCATGAGGGATTTGTGAAACCACCAGCAAGCGGGTGGGAACCATATGGCCGGAAGTACTACATAAGATTATTATAAGCACAAAACCCTGAGCCGCAGGCAGGTTAGTCCTGAATTGAGCACAGTTGCTTGTGCCGGCACGAATAGCAACTTTCGAACATTGCAGAGAATTGCATGGTCAGTTTTCTTGGCGGCTCAGGATGTTCTTCGAGTGTTGCTTGAAACTCTCATTCTGAGCTCTCTGTTCGTATGCGAAGCAGCTCACGAACACCTCCACTTCAGCAGCTTGCGGTCCCGCTCCGAACGGTCCAGGTCGAGATTTTCCTGCGATTCTCCGAGATCGCCGTAGAGACCAAGAAACGAGATGTCATTCAGGCGAGGTTTTGTGACAGATTTGTAAGAAATTCCAATCGTGTGGCTTTGCGCGACAGACACCCCGCCAAGAAGCACTGGCATCGTCCTTTTCCTCAGATAGCGAGAGCTATTGGGTAATTTACTTCAAGTATAGGAAGAGGTGCCTGTGTGCACTGTGCCGCTACAAGGTCCTGCTGCCAGATGTGTATGGCCATGTGCGCTTGAACAGGGTGGCGGTGCAGGGTGCTGCTGCAAGATTTTTATGGCTGTGTGCACTTTGGAGCTTGGGTGGGGGTGCCGCTGCAGGGTGCAGCTGCAGGGCGCCGCTGCCAGATGTTGATGGCAGCGTGCGCTTTTGGAGCCTGCGTGCTGCACTGATGCAGGGTGCGGCTGCAGGTGCTGTTCTGGAGGGCGCTGCTTCTAGGGCTTGTTTTCGAGGGGTTTGTTCGGTTCACAGCAAAGTGCTATAAAGTGCGATTGGCCGAGGCCCTTACGAGTGGACAACAATTGTCCCATAGCAACACTTTGGGCCCTTGGGCGCTGAATATTTATGATACTTTGAGAGTGAAACCTTGTTCCCGCATGCATGTTGCATTAAACCAAGAAAAAGCTAAGGAGCAAGGACGCTATTAGGGGCTCCTGGCCTTACTACTATAGGAACAATAACGCTACTAGGGGCTCCTGGCATCGAGGACGCTATTAGGAGCTCCTGGCGACAATTGTGTTGCGAAGTGCTTTGTGTTGGTCGGTCAATGTTCGCAGAACCAATGTATAAATGCCCTCAGAACCTTCATGTCCATTTGTTGTGTCTTGTCTTCTTGGTACTCAACTTGTACGGGAGTGATGTAGCACTTCACCCAGTCATCCCATCCACATTTCATAGTAATTACACGTGCAAATGTTTGTATGTGCTTGCTTTGTCTCTGGCAACTACCAGATTACCTGAAACGGCTGTTGAAAAAGAAGCTTGGCCCAAGCAGCTGGGGTGTTTGAAGGCCCTTGTTGCCTGACTCCAAGTTCCAGGGTCAGTACTGCTTTTGACCTTGGGCGAGAATGCCCTGATGGCCTCGTTCATTCGAACAGCTTTGAGACTAGCTTGCTCCAACTGTTGGCTTGCTGCATTTTGGGGAAGTGTCAACCTCACAATTGCCCATGGTTTGGCAGCAGGCGGGAGATGGGCATAGAGTCAACACATATGCCGTTTTGGGTGCAAAACGGCACTGCCCTCTTTTGAGTGAGAGGCCTTCCACATGCTTCCCTGGCGTTTCACATGTGAGAAACATGCTTTCCCATGTTCAAAAATCCCAACTTTGTCGCATCTTCAATTGGACGAAAAGGGTAAAGAGCCTACTTCCTTCATATTCTATGGTCTATAGTCTATAGATTTCTATAGTCTATAACCTTCATGTAACCCACTACGTCTATCCCTTAAGCCTGTTTGTCAAGGTGGTGAAGCCTGGCCCTTAACCACCGTCCGGGACCCCACGCAGTTCCTACCGCTTTTGGTGCGGATCAGCACCTCCGATAGCAGCGCCTACCAGTCGTTCTCGGAGAACAGCCTGCAGTTGGGCTCCCGTGACGTCAGCGTTCTGCGCTTCGAACCACAGCTCACTGAATGCAAACTGACTCGCATTCAGAACAGATGGATGGCGGCTGGCGGAGATGTTTTTTCTTGGTGTTGTAACCGGTGTTGTACGGTGTCAGGTCGAATGGTGGATCCATGAGATCTATATGTGGCTTTAATCGTTTACAGTAATGGGTCTGTGTCTTTATGGCTCCAGGTGGCAGCCTGCTGGCTTACTGAACATCGCTCCGAGGCAAGGATGTGGTGGCAGAATTGCGCAATCTACCTGCACCATTAAGCTGTTCCACTTCCAGTGATGGTGCTTTGCTGAGCCTCACCTTCTACGAGGACTACAAGTTGGCCTCCTCTACGACCTACTTGCTCGTGACGCGCCTCTTGGATGTGCAGGATGAATTTCTCGTAACGCACCTGCCGCGAGCATGTTCAACTTGACATGATTTTGTGGGCTAGAAATAGGGAGAAGACCACCAAGAACACTAATGATTCCACCTTCTCAAAGCTGCGCTGTTTGCCGTGCGCTGTCTATTTGTAGCAGCGTAGCCGTCTATATAATAAGCGCAAAAGCAAAGGCCGGACTACTCTCAAAAAGACTAGTCACTAGTCCTCTCCAAGTTCTCCAACCAAAGGCAGGGGAAGATTATGCCATTTTCCACCGATGGAGCATGAGATGTGCCTGGCACATTTGAGACTTTGTTTTTCTCGGCTCAGAGCATTCCAGCTCAACACACTCAAGCCAACCTTTGGCGCAGTCATGGGTTGCTTGGATACGATTGAGTATATTTTTGTAACAACTGTTCACCTTCAGCATTTTCCAAAAACAAACGCCCTTGGTGTTCATGAAGACAGATGAGGTAAACGCTCAAGGTCATTTAGTGAATCGTTCTTACCTTTGCCCAAACTAGTTTGGCACAAGCCAGAGCGTCAGGACTTAGGATAGCCTGCTAAGGAAACCCATCCCTCCTCCCCATCTCAGGCCCAGTTGATTAGGGACCCCAGTGCCCTTTTTGCTATGAGCCTTCAGCATGATGCCCAATCCACATTGCTAATATTGAGACCTATCGGAGGCTTCGTGATATTGCAAGATGCTCTGTATTGCAAGATGTTTTTTATTCACAGGCCAATGGTCCTGCTATTTTCCGATATGGTCCTGCTGTAAACTCCAGTCAGTGGTTCCGAGCGGCTTTCTCACGGTTTTCAAGGGTGCCAGGACTAGGAAAAAAACACCGTTGGCTTCTGTCGGCCGGAGGTTGTGGTGCTTCAGTGGCAGATGAGGCCATGGCAATCGTGGGCCCAGTGGGTCACTCCAAGCAGAGACCAAGAAAACCCAGGCTAGACCTGCAAGTGGCTTGGCGAAGTGGTGAACGATGCGAACCAGTTATGAAAGAGGACCAGGAACCTCAAAGTATCAAAAGGGCACTTGGTACATCAACACCAGGGTCTGCGAATGACAATCTCATGACTGAGGTAGGTAGGTTGTCCCCGCAAAGACGGCTGCACTACAAACAGGCAAACAAGGGAACCTGGCTGATTCAAAGGTGCACCTATATATTTGATTCATACTCAATTCAGCGAGCACTTTGCTTGTATGCCTTTGAGCCGATTTGGTAGAGGACAATTACGTAAGTAGCAAATGCGTAAACGATTCCTAGCCCATCCAAGTCGTTTATAGCGACTCTTCGCCAGTCGTTGAGGGGATATACATACAAAATATATCCTAGGAAGCTCAACCAGCGGCCTGATCCTTTAAGTATCACAGGTCATTCCCTTCCCAGTCCCACTAGCTAAGATGTCTTTTGAGGCCTTGGTGGACAGCCACAAGCGAAAGCTCATTCAACTTCGATCATGCTATGCGGAGTCAGCTGCCCCTGAAAACGCCGGCTCTGAGGGCACTGAAAGCTCTGGGCCCGCCGCACCTTCGCGTGTCGAGCCTTCCCAGAGTGTCGAAGCCTTCAGCACCTCGGCAGGTTTTATTTGTCGTTTCCCGATGGTCCCCACGTGGCATCATCTCCCAGGTAGTTGAAGGAGCATGTTATTTTAGTACTTTGACTTTATATTAGGATGGGGGCCATCGCTATTATTTTGGAATATTTTAGTTACTGTACTCGTGAAAACACTTCAGTGGGAATGTCCCCAGTCTCGAACTCTTGAGCTGGAATGATGGTGGACCTGATTCCCCTGTCGCTCCACAGCTGAGAGGGACAGAGTGGACGTCTCCTCACAGATGAAGTCGCTCTGCAGATCAAGTCCGCCCGCGATTTTGTTGTTGAAAAAGACATCTTCTTTGGCTATTTCACCTCGGGATCCCAGACAACCTAGATTTGGCCTTCGAGGCCTTCACAGGAAGAAGTCCTGGTCAGGGGAATTGCAGTTTACTGAATTGATTGGCACTGCGGGAAGAGAGAGAGAGAGAGTCTGTGAAGTGTCATGAAATGTTTGTATCCAAACACGTTGCTTCAAGCAGGGGTGGTTGGTTTTCGCTGTGGGGTCCGTGGGGTTGGCTATGTTCCATGTCCGAGGTGCACTTTTGCCCTGTCGGGTGGTCGAGGAGGGGTCTGTGGACTTCGACGGGCCGATGATGGACCACCGGAGTTGCGTGGTGGAAAGGAGGGAGGACTAGTAGCTTCTTGCTACTAGCAGTACGGCCAGGAGCTACTAGTAGCGATGCCCTTTGTTACTAGTACTGGTAGCTTCTTGTTACTAGTGGCAATGGCCTCCAACCTACTTGCGATGGCCTGCACCTAGTTAGTAGCGTCCTTGCTACTAGTAGCATACGGTGAAAATCAGCGAGGACATTGGGCTCCCGGTGTTTACTTGGACGTGTACTTACGCCTTACGCACCAGGCTTGCGAAGTATCAGAGCCAGTCTTGCCAGCGGAAATACGTTGAGCCACGGTGAGAAATCTTCTAGTTAACATCTAGCAGTGCTGCCATAGGAATGTCAGGAATCTGCGACTCAAGACGGAATATGATGCAGGATATGTTGCTTTCTCCCTTGTTACTAGTAGCGATGGCGTCCAACCTCTCCACCTAATAGCATCCTTGTTACTAGGTGATATAATGCTTTATGTTGCTTTTGGGATTGCTGGGTTTCCATCGGTTTATGTACCCCGAGACAGATCTACAGTTCTCCCTACTGTAGTGAAGGAAATATTTGACAAATTTGACAGGCCTTTGCGACGCCTCTCATTCCACCCCAAAATGTAGGACAGCCTTATCTTGGGTCATGTTGGAAAACAGGGGAACTGTCTTAGTAGTTTTGTATGCTGCAGGTTGAATCATCCCGGAGTAGATAGAATGTCGGAACCATGCCATGTTGTGTTCGTGTGAAAAACACTCCACAGAATCGCAGAATCGGATTCGCCACGCGATGCAGAGGTACTTCCGATTCTTTCTTCAGATCTTCTATGACCTATAGTTATATATAGTATGTAATATA